TGTGTGTGTGTGTGTGTGTGTGTGTGTGTGTGTGTGTGTGTGTGTGTTCAGCTCAGCTTCTCCTCTCGGCCCTTCAGGGGACGTTGGTTGCCCTCTGGTGGCCGAGGGCTGGCATAGCCTCGGGGGGCTTCTGGCTGGGGCTTGGACCTCAGGGAACAGAGAAGTTTCTGGACTGGTGCCTGGCTGGGGTTGGTGGTCTCCTCCCCGGCCCAAGAGTGCTGGGGACAAGGAGCCACCCACCCGCCTGCTTCCTTCCATCGCAGGGAGGGAGGGAGGTGTCTGAAGGAGAGGCGAGGCTGTTGGAGCAGCCAGCTTGGAGGGGCGGCCCTTGTAAGATGAGCTGGAACAGGAAGGCTGGCGGGGGGGCGGGGGGTGGAAGCCAGGCAGATTTCCTGTACATGGAGCGCCTACGACCCAGGAGGGAAGGGCAAGGGGACATGGGTAAGGCAGCCACCCTCACGTAGGAGGTAAGGGGCTGGGGGAGCCCAGCGGGGCAGAGCCGCCACCGCTCCACTCTCGGGAGGAAAGTCCCTGGGCCAGTCAGCAGGGGGCAGCAGCATCCGCCTGCCCAGGGCACCCCAAAGCCCCTCCGTCCAAAATGGCCCTTCCGGGAAGCCATGCCTAAACAGTGGGGCCCCGGCTAACAGAGGGGGGTGGCACTGCCGAGCCTGGAGGCTGAGGGGGAGGGCCGTGCCCTGCCCTGCCTGGCAGCTGGGTGCAGCCTCTGGGCCCCCCAGCCCTGCCCTTTCAGTCACAGTGGCCGCTTGTTCTCCGGGTGGGCGGTGGAGCTGCTGGGCTGGCACGAAAGAAAGGCCCCTATTCTTTCCACAGCTGGCCCAGGAGAGCGGCATCTGCTGACAGAGGGGCCGGAGGAGTGAGCCTGCTGCCCTCACACACGCACACACACACACCCCACACCCTGCCTCAAAAGCAGCCCGAGAGCCTGCTGGCGTCGAGCTCCATGGGAAGCCCAGTTTGGGGGTCTTCGCTCTGAAGCCACACCTCCAGGGGGACCTCGGGAGGGGGGCTGCCCGCCCGCGCAGGGGGCCTGGGGCAATGCAGGACAAGCTGCACATCTTGGAGGATCTGAACATGCTCTACATCCGGCAGATCGCCCTCAGCCTGGAGGTACCCTGCCGCTGGACGTTGCTGCTTTCAAAGGGCGGGGTGGAGGGGGGGACATTTGTGGGTGGGGGTCAGCGTGTGGGTGGGTGTGTTTCGATGTATAGGGTTGCCCATTTAGGTGGGGGAGGGCTGTGTCTTGGCCCAGGAGGGCCAGAGAGAAGCCCCCCAACAGATGTTGGTAAGGAGGGGCTGCGAACTGAGCACCGGCCTGGGTCGAACAGGGCTGTTCAGGTGTGTCGCTGCAGTTTGGGTGGCAACCGTGTGGCTACCTTCCAGGATATACTTTCGACTCCCCTGGGTCTTAGTGAGGTCCCCATGCAAGAGTAGTAGCGCTGCTCTCAGCCCGTAGCACCTGGTGACGACCCCTGACGGGGACCCGTTTCTTTCGTCCATCCGGCTGGTCCCTGCACACTTCTTGAGAGGCAGAGAGACGCGGCAGGGGGCTCCCTGGGCTGGGCTCCTGCCAGGCACTTTTTGCCCGTGGCTTCCTCGGTGACGTTGCTACATCTTTGTGAGCTCCACCTGTTGGGTCTCCTGCTCCTGTTAGCCTGAGCAGTCAGTGGGTATGCGGGCTTGGCAGGCGCTGCCCAATTCCCCTTTGCCCTGGGTCCTTCGGGAGCCCGGAGTCCTGGACCTCAGCGTGTTCTTGCTTGGCTGCCCAACCGAGGGTTGTGTCAGGATTGGCAGGAGGTGCCATCTCTCGCAATTGCCCACCAGGGTCTTGGAATGGGGGAAACAGGGAACACTTTTCCTGCTGGGACCTTAAGCCTTCCACACCCCTTTGCTGTCTCTCTTTGTGAGAAGAGGCCAAGGACCCCTGGCAGGAGGGGGTGGGGGCATTTGTCTGGGGGCAAATAAAGGCTGATGACGCTGGAGAGAAATAGAGTGGCCCCTTGGGAGGGGGGTGCCCTGCCTGGGCTGCTCCCCGTCCAAGAGGGGCCCAGCGGATTCCCGGGAGCAGAAACGGCTCCGAGACTCTCCTGCGTTGGCACTGAACAGCCGCGGGGACCCCTCCCCGTTTGCCTTCTCAGCCTCACGCGCGGGGGCCTGAATCCCTCAGCGGATCGGGCCCTCTCTCTGTCCATCAGCCACCGCCCACCCACCCACCCACCCCTACATGGGGGTCCCCGTCTCTGCTCCGGAGGGAAGGCAGCCTTGGCCCCGCGGCAAGAGCGAGGGCGCTGGGCTTTGGGCCGGGGTCTCTCTGCAATTGTCTCCACCTCGCGAGGCATTCCGGCCCCCGCCGATCCCAGCCGGCCTATTTTTAGGCAGCGGTGATGTCACAACCTCCCCCCCCCACCGCCCTCCCTCTCGCTTAGACCCTGCCCAGGCGACCCCTCCCCTCCGACGCAGCTGCGGCCAGCGGGAGAACCGCCCTGCAGCGGAGCGAACGGAGCGGAGGCGGCTCCGGGCTATGAGCCGGCGGCATGGAGGACGGGAAGCCGGCCAGTGTGAGCGGGGGGCTGGGGGAAGAGAAAGGCGGAGGCTGCGGGAACAGCCAGCTCGGGGTTGGGGGGGCGGCAGGGCGCATTCCGAGGAGGTGGGGGGAGGGTCTCGACCTCCCTAGGTCCCGATTAAGGGGGGGTCATAATCCGTCCTGCTCTCCTCCCCCGGCCTGGGTTGGCCTCTGGGCCAAGGGGGCACCCCGAAAAGAGCTGCCCCCCCACTTCTCCCTCCCACCCACCCCCACCCGCAGCATTCCAGGCCCAGAGGGTGGTGAGCTTCTCTGGG